TTTAAGGTTGGCCAGGAACACTGATCCTTAGCCAAGGTCCCGTCAAACCAGTGTGACGCCTGTGAGGACAGATATAATGGGAAGAGTTCTTTCTTTTCCTCATCTGTATAGCCATGTACTTTAGAATAACGTTCAAATCTTTTTAACCAACCCTCTGCGGCGAGGGGGTCCTTACCGTCAAAATGGCTCATTGGCACTGCAGATAATGAGACAGCTCTGGTGAATGAATGAGCCGGGTTCACTGACGGGACGGACTGTGCATTGGTGCCATTTGGCGTGGCCACACTGGATTGATACGTGGGTGGGGCGGGGCAGCCTTGAACCACTGCTGCTGTATGAGTGACGGGCGTACTGAAGATATCAGCATGTAATAATTGGGGGCCTGTTATTGGGGAAGAGAACGGTGACCATTCAACTGGAAGTGGGGGGCAACTAGTACTCTGGTTACTGGATGTTGTGGTTGTAACGCTGGCGGACATGATTGGCGTGGTATCAACCATAGTAGAAGGGCTCTCTTGGTCAGACGGGACGGTCTTACTACTTGGGAGTGGGGAAGCAAATAATGCAGACCAGCTGGAGGATGTAGCTACAGGAGATAAACACTGCTGATTGACAGGGCGTAAAGAGATTGGATTCCCGCTATTGCTGGGTGTTACAGGCATGATTATCTCAAGGATCTCGCTCTTTTACAAAGTGTTTACCATCGATAATAATAATTGGCTTACCTAAAGCAGATCCGATCCTGTGGAATGTGCACTACAAGTCAGTCTAAATGTCACACACCACTGTTTGTCACTTTCCTATCGGATCAATGTCACATAAGAGTTCAGCCTGTTGTTTCCCTGGTGGCTCACTGTTCTGTACGGATCGTCCCACCTATGGTTCCGTCGATCTGGTGTTGTCCTCCTGCCTTCCTCTGTACCTGCAACCCTCTCTCTCTCGATCAGCTGGCGTTGGTGGCGTAGCCCTTCCTCGGCCGATCTCAAAGTCGTCGTTTGCACTCAACCTCACTAGTGCAATGTTTTTGCTCGTGCAACCGCTGCACGTTTTCAGCCTCGCTTCGTAAATAAGCAGCCCAGCTTTACTCTACTTATTGTAAATTGCCGTGTGCATGCACCCGCTGCACTGCACTTTCAACCTCTCCAATTATCAAGCAGCCAAACGTCGCTCTGCTTATGCCAATGGCCTTGCGTGCATCGGCTGCACTTTCAACCTCTCAAATTATTAAGCAGCCAAACGTCGCTCTGCTAATTCAATTTGTCGTGCGTACCTTCGCTGCACTGTACTTTCAGACTCTCAATATTTTAAGTAGCCCAGCTTTATTCTACTTATTACAAATTGCCGTGCGTGCCCTCGCTACACTGCACTTTCAGCCACTCAATATCTTAAGCAGCCAAACGTCACTCTGCTTATTAAAACTGCCGTGCCTGCACCTGCTGCACTGCACTTTCAGCCTCTCAATTTTTTTAAGCAGCCAAACGTCGCTCTGCTCATAAAAATTTCAGTGCTTGCAACCGCTGCACAGCACTTTCAGCTTCTCAATATTTTAAGCAGCCAAACGTCTCTCTGCTCATGCCAATGGCCTTGCGTGCATCGGCTGCACTTTCAACCTCTCAAATTATTAAGCAGCCAAACGTCGCTCTGCTAATTCAATCGCAATTTTCCGTGCTTGCAACCGCTGCACAGCACTTTCACCTTTAACCACTGCTACAGGTTACCCGCGTCTCCAGCCACCTTTCCAAGGTATTTTACCTGGCAGGTAGATGGTATCCTGTCGGTATCCCGTACCTGGGATGGTGTGTCGATTACCTGAACTACGGTATACCCCCGTACTTCGGTCCTGACGATAAGGGATGTGCGAGAGGTACAGTGTCAGTACCCGGGGGCCCTTGGAACTTTACCGTAGTCCGTCCAGCAAACACAAGACGATGATCTTCGTTCAATAGTTTTTATTGAAACTGTGTTGCTGGTCAACCTACTCTATGGTCACTCTATAAGACTTCAGCCGCAAAGCTTCAGTCTTAAGCCAAAATGCTGGTGCTTCAAGATAATTTCTCAGACGGTTCCTAGTGACCAACAGCAAGAGCAGGCCCGCACCAGACTGCCGTTTCTGATCTTTGCTCCCGCTTAAACCTGGGTTCCTACGTCACAGCCAACACCTTTTCCTTTTTTTCTATTGGTCAATAACCCATAATCTGACTATCTATTACTCTCCCCCACCTCTATTTCGTACCTCCACTACCATTTTTGTACGACCGTGAGGTGGATTCCAGGAAACTCAGGGTCTCTCTCCCCTAACCATATATGGCTCGTAGAATACTAGGAACTGGTGGCCAGGTCCCCGGCCAGGTCACCCCATCTTGATAGTATAGTTGCTTTTTCCTCTATCTAAGCTATGAGTCATTCCCCCCTATGCACTCATCAGCTCCAGCGACCTACTTTCATGTTCATTACCTACATTACTGACTTTCTACCTTACCTCCCACCTTACAACGTTACCACTCACTTCATATCTTAAATATCTAAACTCTCCCAATTTGTATCTTCTGCCCCCTTAATCCCCTGTCATTAATAATGTTAATTGTATATCTCTTATTGTAATAAAGACCATAATCTCATGCCTATAATAGTACGTCTAAGTTTGAATTTAGCAATTTACCAAACCTTTCGTGAAAACTGTTATGTACCCCAGAAACACTATAACCCTACAGACTAAACGAAAAACATTCTGCCCAGGACACGTGGTCGTTTCCTTTTCGTCCTACCAACAATTCATACAATGAAACTAAAATACTAATCATCCCAGATAGTGGTTAGGTAGATGATGTAATTCCTCCTGTTCCAATACAACGACTTCTGTACATCTCCAGTACTGTACTGTATTGAAGATCTGCTCTTCCAATACAACCACTAGACATCTCCAGTACTGTACTGTATTGAAGATCTGCTCTTCCAATACAACCACTACACATATCCGGTATTGTACTGTATTGAAGATCTGCTCTTCAAATACAACCACAACACATCTCCAGTACTGTACTGTATTGAAGATCTGCTCTTCCAATACAACCACAACACATCTCCAGTACTGGACAGTATTGTAGATCAGCTGTTTCGTGAGTTGTAACTTATGTTACTAAACAACTTCAAACTCCAATCAACAAAATCCACATAGCAGCAAAAAGAGACAGTGTATCTGGGTAAGTAAGAACAAAGACCATGTACTGTACAGCTTATTACGTTGAGCTATAAACTTTAGGAATAGGATTCTGAAAGTGTTTTTTTCTTGTGTTGTATTGAAAGATTATCCAGGATACAAAGCTAAGTGCCCCTGGTAGGCATATTGACTTCAAGTCGGTATTTAGTTCAAACATTGGAAATCAGTGATATTTTAGCATCATATTTAATGTCCATGCCCTGTTTCAGCCTGGACTGGTCGGAATCATGGTGGAAGTGCGACGGGTCAACTGTCCCAGGCGACCACACACTCGTCTGATATACACGGTAAGTGGGGAAACACAGCCGGTGTTAGATCTCCTTAATATATAGTGTCTATATAGTGCTATGATAAATGTGCATACTTTAATTCTAACTCAACAAAGAACATTCTAAGTGGCATCAAATTTGTTCAGTGACCTACATTTCTTTGTAGCCAGTATTTGTAATGCTAATGAGCTCTATATAGTTTACTAAACAGGCTATTGTCCTCTATATAGTTTACTAAACAGGCTATTCTCTGTTTCAGACTCCACTGATCCCAGTCAGGGTGGGAGCGAGACGGACCATCTGCTCCCAGTGGCCAAACCAACTTCTTTTACACACGGTAGGTGGGAGAACACAGTAGGTGGTAGCTAACTCCTACCCTAGTAACAACCTGGGAGATAGACGGTAGGTTGGAGAACACAGTAGGTGGTAGCTAACTCCTACCCTAGTAACAAGCTGAGAGATAGACGGTAGGTGGGAGAACACAGCAGGTGGTAGCTAACCCCTACACTAGTAACAAGCTGACAGATAGACGGTAGGTAGGAGAACACAGTAGGTGGTAGCTAACCCCTACACTAGTAACAAGCTGAGAGATAGACGGTAGGTGGGAGAACACAGTAGGTGGTAGCTAACTCCTACCCTAGTAACAAGCTGAGAGATAGACGGTAGGTGGGAGAACACAGTAGGTGGTAGCTAACTCCTACCCTAGTAACAAGCTGAGAGATAGACGGTAGGTGGGAGAACACAGCAGGTGGTAGCTAACCCCTACACTAGTAACAAGCTGACAGATAGACGGTAGGTAGGAGAACACAGTAGGTGGTAGCTAACCCCTACACTAGTAACAACCTGATAGACAGACGGTAGGTAGGAGAACACAGTAGGTGGTAGCTAACTCCTACCCTAGTAACAAGCTGAGAGATAGACGGTAGGTGGGAGAACACAGCAGGTGGTAGCTAACCCCTACACTAGTAACAAGCTGACAGATAGACGGTAGGTAGGAGAACACAGTAGGTGGTAGCTAACTCCTACCCTAGTAACAAGCTGAGAGATAGACGGTAGGTGGGAGAACACAGTAGGTGGTAGCTAACTCCTACCCTAGTAACAAGCTGAGAGATAGACGGTAGGTGGGAGAACACAGCAGGTGGTAGCTAACCCCTACACTAGTAACAAGCTGACAGATAGACGGTAGGTAGGAGAACACAGTAGGTGGTAGCTAACCCCTACACTAGTAACAACCTGATAGACAGACGGTAGGTGGGAGAACAGAGCAGGTGGTAACTAACCCCTACCCTAGTAACAAACTGACAGATAGACGGTAGGTGGGAGAACACAGCAGGTGGTTGCCAGCTCCTGACCCTAGTAACAAGCTGATAGACAGACGGTTGGTGGGAGAACACAGCAGGTGGTAGCCAGCTCCTTACCCTAGTAACAACCTGATAGACAGACGGTAGGTGGGAGAACACAGCAGGTGGTAGCCAGCTCCTTACCTTAGAAATAAGCTGATAGACAGACGGTAGGTGGGAGAACACAGCAGGTGGTAGCCAGCTCCTTACCCTAGTAACAAGCTGATAGACAGACGGTAGGTGGGAGAACACAGCAGGTGGTAGCCAGCTCCTTACCCTAGTAACAAGCTGATAGACAGACGGTAGGTGGGACAACACAGCAGGTGGTAGCCGGCTCCTGACGCTAGTAACAAGCTGATAGACAGACGGTAAGTGGGAAAACACAGCAGGTGGTAGCTAACCCCTACCCTAGTAACAAGCTGATAGACAGACGGTAAGTGGGAGAACACAGCAGGTGATAGCCAACTCCTTACCTTAGTAATAAGCTGATAGACAGACGGTAAGTGGGAGAACACAGCAGGTGATAGCCAACTCCTTACCTTAGTAATAAGCTGATAGACAGACGGTAAGTGGGAGAACACAGCAGGTAGTAGCCAGCTCCTTACCCTAGTAACAAACTGATAGACAGACGGTAGGTGGGAGAACACAGCAGGTGGTAGCCAGCTCCTTACCCTAGTAACAAGCTGATAGACAGACGGTAGGTGGGAGAACACAGCAGGTGGTAGCTAACTCCTACCCTAGTAACAAGCTGATAGATAGACGGTAGGTGGGAGAACACAGTAGGTGGTAGCTAACCCCTACCCTAGTAACAAGCTGATAGACAGACGGTAGGTGGGAAAACACAGCAGGTGGTAGCTAACCCCTACCCTAGTAACAAGCTGATAGACAGACGGTAAGTGGGAGAACACAGCAGGTGATAGCCAACTCCTTACCTTAGTAATAAGCTGATAGACAGACGGTAAGTGGGAGAACACAGCAGGTGGTAGCCAGCTCCTGACGCTAGTAACAAGCTGATAGACAGACGGTAGGTGGGAAAACACAGCAGGTGGTAGCTAACCCCTACCCTAGTAACAAGCTGATAGACAGACGGTAAGTGGGAGAACACAGCAGGTGATAGCCAACTCCTTACCTTAGTAATAAGCTGATAGACAGACGGTAAGTGGGAGAACACAGCAGGTGGTAGCCAGCTCCTGACGCTAGTAACAAGCTGATAGACAGACGGTAGGTGGGAAAACACAGCAGGTGGTAGCTAACCCCTACCCTAGTAACAAGCTGATAGACAGACGGTAGGTGGGAGAACACAGCAGGTGGTAGCCAGCTCCTGACCCTAGTAACAAGCTGATAGATAGACGGTAAGTGGGAGAACACAGCAGGTGGTAGCCAGCTCCTGACCCTAGTAACAAGCTGATAGATAGACGGTAGGTGGGAGAACACAGCAGGTGGTAGCCAGCTCCTAACCCTAGTAACAAGCTGATAGACAGACGGTAGGTGGGAGAACACAGCAGGTGGTAGCCAGCTCCTGACCCTAGTAACAAGCTGATAGACAGACGGTAGGTGGGAGAACACAGCAGGTGGTAGCCAGCTCCTTACCCTAGTAACAAGCTGATAGACAGACGGTAGGTGGGAGAACACAGCAGGTGGTAGCCAGCTCCTTACCCTAGTAACAAGCTGATAGACAGACGGTAGGTGGGAGAACACAGCAGGTGGTAGCCAGCTCATCAGTATCAGTTGATGCTCATGATTTCAGTCACTGGGCTGTCAGGATCAGACTCCGTCATAAAACACACGCAGTAAACCAATGTAATATGCTTATATGTCCACAAAACTTGAACACTGTCCAGCCATACACAGAATATTATTGATAGAAAGACTTATTTAAACAAACAATTCTTTATTACATTAACCAGTTGTCGTCCTTCACCAAAGTCTCCGTGGAATTGTTTAAATGCATCTATGTCCATGCATCTAAACAATGTACAACACAGATGTCCCAATGTGTACACAGTTTACTTTGTGTTACAGCTACTCCATCACAAGCAGACCGCGACCTCTACTACGCCAGCAGGGACGGTGACCTGGAGGCTGTGAAGCGGATCCTGTCAGCGGGTCACGCCGACGTCAACAGTAGAGGAGTGAGGAGCAGAAGACCGGTGATGGCGGCAGCACTGAGGGGACACAGGGATATGGTGGAGCTCCTTGCGAGGCGAGGTGCTGATGTGTCACTGGTGGACGATGGCGGTAACAACATCCTTCACTACGCTTGTGAGGGAGGAGACAGGGAGACAGTGGAGTTTGTCCTGTCCCTGGACGGGGTGGACATCAACAGTAGAGGAGAATGGAGGAGCAGGGCACAGGTGATGGTGGCAGCACGGAGGGGACACAGGGATGTGGTGGAGTTCCTTGTGAGTCGAGGTGCTGATGTGTCACTGGTGGACGATGGCGGTAACAACATCCTTCACTACGCCTGTGAGGGAGGAGACAGGGAGACAGTGGAGTTTGTCCTGTCCCTGGACGGGGTGGACATCAACAGTAGAGGAGGATGGAGCATGACACAGGTGATGGAGGCAGCATGGAGGGGACAGAGGGATATGGTGGAGCTCCTTGTGAGTCGAGGTGCTGATGTGTCACTGGTGGACGTATCCCCACGTTACCTCTTTTCGAGCGTCACCTCATTTCGAGCCGCCAATATACACGTGCGGATTTATTTGATGACGTCATCCAGGTAGCCACTTCAAAGCGGAACGCAGGTTACAAGTTGTCAGGCTGTCTAGGACGTAATCATGTGGCGTGTGAAGCTGCAGGTGGTAAGTTAGATAAAAAAACGTAAACCCATGACAAAAAGTCACTATTTTGCCTACTGCATATTTTTTTAAAGTTTAAAGCTGCATTTCTTGCACTGAAAACATTTGACATCACTTCGAAGTTATGCCGTCTGCAGAATGTAAACTTCCGGCCAGGATCACATGACTTACATCATGTGGCTGGCTATTTTTAACTTGCATCGCGATCGCTAGTAGGGGCCGTCTTATAAGTGTTGTAACCAATTTTTCGGTGTATTGCAGAATTCAAGACCCTCGTCGTATAGGGTTTATGACCCAGAGGCTATGACCAGGGCATATTTAGCCGTTGTGGAAGACAATATGCCTGTCAAAACTGCAGCTAGGAAGTTTTCTGTACCTGAGACGACTCTCAGAGATCGTGCTAGGGGTAGGATCCATCCAGAAACACTTAAGTCAGGGACTGAACCAATTCTTAGTTTAGAAGAGGAGTCTAGACTTGTTGAACATCTAAAGTTCATGAGTAGTGTGGGGTACGGATACACCAGGGTGGAGGTCACTACACTGGCATCTCAGTATGCTGTTCAACTGGGAAAACGAAATAAAGATGATCCCTTTTCTCTCCATTGGTATTATGGATTTATGAAGCGATGGCCTTCTCTCATGCTGGACAAGCCACGCCCTCTCGAAGTTTTCAGAGCAAAGGCGACGTCGCAGGAAGCAGTTTCCAAATATTTCGTCGAACTTCGGGCCGTGCTAGAGAAGTACGATTTATTTGACAAGCCGCAATTCATCTATAATGTTGACGAAAAAGGGTTGATTGAGAACCATACTCCTCCTAAAGTGGTATCTTCTTCTGAATATCGATGTGTCGCGGTTACTACACCAAGATCATCAACAACAACTTTAATTGGTTGTGGGAACGCTCTCGGACAACAAATCCCTCCTTACTTCGTATTTAAGGGACAGCGTCTGCGTTCGGATATTCTATCTGAATGTACCCCAGGTACAAATGCCACAACTAGTGATTCAGGGTGGTCAAATATGGAAATATTTTCCACTTATTTGAATGATCACTTCCTGAAATACGCTCAGAGGTCAGATCCGTCACAGCCGATTCTCCTTCTTTACGACGGGCACCGCTCTCATGTTTCTCTCCCCATCATTGACTGGGCCATATCTCGGAACATTGTTTTGATGGTACTGCCAGCTCACACTTCTCATGTTTTACAACCACTTGACGTTGGTTGTTTCGGGCCACTAGAAAGGATCTACAATTCCATGAAGCACACGTATATGAGAGAACAAGTCACCACCAACATAGATAAGAACGCTATGTGTGCTGTTGCTTGTAAAGCATACACGTCGGCTCTTTCTCCAAGAAACTTGATGTCCTCGTTTGAGAAATGTGGAATATTTCCATTTGACGATTCTGTCGTGTCTGCGGAAGCCTTGAGACCTTCTACAGTTTTTATTACATCCGAGGAAAACCGCGAAGCCGACGACTCACTTTTTAGACAGAAGGAAGACGCTCTGCACAAAATCAAGTCTGCACCAACACTGAAGCGGAAAGTCCTCAGCTCTATCGTCAGTGGTAAAGCCATCACAGAAGAAAATACAGTGTTCAAAATTCAAGAACACACTCAGAAACAGCCAGTCAAGAAGAGGAAGCAACAGTCTGCACAGAAGAAAAAAAGTATCACAAGTTCGTTCAACTCTCTCTGCCAAACCAAGCACGTCTGGATTGTCTCATGTACGAGAGGTTGTCGCAAGTGACAGCGGTACAGACACGGACAATGAGGGTGATGACGAAGTGTGTTGTGTTTGCAAATTGTTTCAACCGAAAGAACTGCAAAATTGTGTCTCGCTTGTATTCACAAAGTGGGCTCAGTGTACGCACCCGAGTTGTGATCACTGGGTACATCTCAAATACTGTACGCAGGTGCGCGTTGTGAGATCAACAGCTGAATTCTGGTGTCCGTGTCATTCGGAAAATTCAGAGGAATAGAGCCTGTTTGTCGACTGAAGTGACAACTGTACATAAGTTTTAATATTTAATGCCTAGTTCCCATAACTCATCGTGTCATAACAATGCATGTACGCTTACGGCAGTGAGACGACAATTTGCCAGAACTAACAGTGAAATCATATTCACGATCGAGTCACTGTGCTATATTGTGCATATATGCTACATTAATCATTATAGCGGAAATTTAAAGACTTATACTCGTTTGGAACATTTTGGATGACTGTGAATTCATAAGACCGCTTCAAGTTTTGAGATCACCCCGCGCTGGCTGACACTGTGTTGAATACGTCAACAATATTGAGGGGCTCGAAAAGAGGTGACGTCACAAAAACATGGCGATCAACTAGGTCACTTCGAACTTCGAGGTATGTTCTGCTGCAAACAAACGACGCATCTCCTTAGCTAACAAATTTAACAGCACAATAAATGTAATTCAAAGTAAGATAACTATTATTGATATATCCCAAAGCATTTCTCATGATTGTCATTGTTTGTCTTAGGGGCTCGAAAACACCGTACGCGAGGATATAACACTAGAACCCTGAATGCCGAGATTTGTTTCTGACGCACATTTTAAAATTTTTTAAAAAGTGAAGGTACTCGCGTGTCACTGGATCGACCTACAGCTACAAACGTTACACAGAAATATAGAAAGTTAAATTTCCTATCCGAGGGTATAACTTCAAGTGCAAATACTTAGTCGGTTTGAAAACTACAACCAGTTAATCCCCTGGATGCCAAAGTTTTATTTTCTGACGCACATTTCCATAAGATCTGACAAGTCGAACATCGTTCGCGCGTCACTGGATCTACCTACAGTTATAAAATTACACAGAAATGTAGAATATTACATTTCCTGTCTTATGTAAACTCAAGTGCAAATGCTTATACGCGGTTTGAAAAATAGACACTGCTAAATCTTGTCTGAAGTTTTGTTATGCGTTAAAAACAGTAAATTTCGCCGTTTTTATCGTACACAGATAACCGCACTGTGCGACAGTTCTTCAAGCGTATGTTTAAGTGTAATGAAACTACTGAAATTATCAACATTTTAGTTGACGTCATGGCTCATAAGTAATAAGTGGGTGGGTGTGGTTTTACGCTGCTTTGGGTCTTCACACACTGCACCCATGTGGGAAATCGAACTCGAGTCTTAGGCGTGACGAGCGGACACTTTAACCATTAGGCTACCCGACCACCCCCAATGTAACTGAGGTCATTTGGAGAGAATGGACTGTGGATAAGGACACTTTTTCTGAGTTTTCGTTCACGATGAACCATTGTATTCCTATATCCACATTGTAACTGTATACGTTTTGGTAGAATCACAAATTACGAGAAATGTTGAAATTATACAAAATGTGACATCACGTAATAGCGAAATGGGTGGCCCTATCCAATATGTAAGTCAGTTCTTGTAGAAATATTAGACGCAGTTTTTATTTATTTTGCACCATTATTAACCGAGTTCTTTGACACATTTCACCTTATTGTGTAGCTCGATGCTCATGCTATTGATCACTGGAGTATCTGGTCCAGACCCGATTATTTACAGACCGCAGCCATATAGCTGGAATATTGCTGGGTGCGGCGTTAAACAAAAAAGAAGAAAAAACAACAAAAAATCCAACATCAATCGTTTCGGTGATGTCACTGTCACTGTCGTAGATGCAGGATTTCATGGTACATATTTCAGATCTCAGATACATCCTGAACGTGTTTTCTTTTCGTGTTGTCGCCATAATAGAAATACTGGAATCTTCCCTGTCCATTCGGCAAGTGTTTACCCCAACCCAATCACGCACAATATCCCCCGTATTGCTGATGGATCACGTGAGTCCCCGGAAGTGACACATGTCGTCGTATCACAACTGCGTAGTTCGCTGCTCATGTTGCTGCTAACTGGATTGTCTGGTCCAGACTCGATTATTTACAAACCGCCGCCATATGTATATCTATGGCTTGAATATAGCTGAGTGTGGCGTAAACCAACAAACTAAACCAACAATCTTAATTAAGTATACAATGAAAGAAAAAGAGGTCCTTGTGTTTGGGACTATCAGAATAATGTAAGGTTTGGCCGAAGGAAGACATGGCAGGTTGATATATGTTTTAAATTCTGGTCGAAATATAGTTACTGTCTATTGTCATCACAACATCACAATATTATAAAATAATAATAATAAATTGATTATATCATAGAAAACATGACGAGTACATGATGAAACGATTGTCAAGCGTGCACCTGGCCAGTCATCATACATTATTGTTCTGTCTATAAAACGGCATAAACAAATTCCATAACCTTAGCAATTCCTTTAAAAGTGTGTGCATATACATTTGATAAAACACATCACACATTTTCTTAAATTGTCATTGTAAGCTTTACATATAACATTAAGTTAAAATTGATGTCTATTGACCTGCCGACATGAAATCACAATATTGAATATTGCACATCACAGGAACTGAAGTACATGTTGCAGATACACCAAGGTTTTATCTTCACTTGTGAAAAGGTAATAAATATGGTGTACTACGCTTGATGACTCAATTTCTCGCGTAAAACAAGGAAAAGCTTTCAAAAGATATAAATCGCATTGCCTATATCCACGCATGATGTGAATAATGATCTAGATAATGAATTCAGTTTCGCCCAAATAATATTTAAAAGATGAAAATATACATTATAATACTGAAACTGTGAGCAGTCGGATGGGTTCATAGTGTTTTACTCTGATTCAACCGACTTCCACTATAAACTGCCAATTATACATTATAACACTGAAACAGTGAGCAGTAGGATAGGGTGATTGTACGGAACCGTAGAAGGGACATTGGATGAGAAAATAAATATCAATAAAAAGTCGTGGCCACGAGATACTAAGTCGTGGCCACGAGATACTAAGCCGTGGCCACGAGATACTAAGTCGAGGCCACGAGATAGTAAGTCGTGGCCACGAGATAATAAGTCGTGGCCACGAGATACTAAGTCGTGGCCACGTGATACTAAGCCGTGGCCACGAGATACTAAGTCGTGGCCACGAGATAATAAGTCGTGGCCACGAGATACTAAGTCGTGGCCACGTGATACTAAGCCGTGGCCACGAGATACTAAGTCGTGGCCACGAGATAGTAAGTCGTGGCCACGAGATAATAAGTCGTGGCCACGAGATACTAAGTCGTGGCCACGAGATACTAAGTCGTGGCCACGAGATAATAAGTCGTGGCCACGACTTATTATCTCGTGGCCACGGTATAAGTTAACCAATAGAATTGCAGTTTTGGTCAGCCATTTTGACAGATTTTGCATCATTCCATAACTTATCAAACTTGGTTATAGTATGGATCAAGACCTTCGCAGAGAAATAATATCACCTTATTTCCACCTTGGAATCAATTACAAGGACATTGTGTACATTCTTGATAACATGTATGGATTCAAACTAAGTGTGCGGCACCTTAAGAGAATTCTAAGGACTATGAATCTGAGTCGTCGTAGATTCAGCCCTCTCGTGGATGTTGTGAGTTTTATACAGGATCAACTATCAGCTTCAGGTCAGCTGTGTGGCTACCGTATCATGTATGCTAAATGTCAACAAAGCGGTCTGAAGGCAAGAATGGAAGACGTTCGGCTTATTTTGCGTCATCTAGATCCAGTGGGAGTTGAGTCAAGGAGAGTTCGACGACTGCGTCGGCGTTTATATTATGCCAAGGGACCAAATTTTGTGTGGCATGTAGATGGATATGACAAACTTAAACCATTTGGACTTTGTATCCAAGAAAAGTATCCAAGTGGATTTTCAAGAAAAGTAATATGGATCAAGGTCTACAAAACCAACAACAATCCAAAGGTAATTGGTGGATATTTTTTAGAGGCCGTTAGGACGCTCAGGGGTTGTCCACATATTGTAAGGGCTGACCTTGGTACAGAAAATGTACACGTCCGAGAGTGTCAACAATATCTTAGACGTGGCAATACAGATCCACAAGCCAGAAGATGCTTCATTGATGGTTCCAGCACATCAAATCAAAGAATAGAAGTCTGGTGGTCATTTCTCAGAAAGGAATGCACACAGTTTTGGATTGAATTGTTCAAAGGTCTGGAGGAAAATGGGGATTTCAGGGGAGATTTCTTGGACAAAAACCTCATCCAGTTTTGTTTCATGGTTATTGTTCAGGTACACTTTATTGTATAATATCATACAAGTGGAACTGTTCATACATAAAGTAACGACTTCATGGATGTAAACTTTCTTCGACATATAGTTTATAATTTTCATTACTATAAAATATGTTACTGTTACCTGCGATGGTCAATACACGATAAAAGACGTTTTTTGCTGTTTTTATGTCTTAATCTACACCAGAGAAATCGGTTTGAAACAATTGTTTAACACTAACATTTTTAGGATGATCTGGATTCCGTGGCTGCCGTGTGGGACAACCATTGCATTAGACCCTCCAGATACAATGTTGCAAGTGGTCATCCAGAGCAAATGTACAGTGCTCCAGCTCTATGGGAAACTGAAGATCAACTCTGTGCTGTGTCCGACGATGACGTCTCTACCTGCCTTGAGGAAGCCGTGCTTCGCTCAACAATCCCATGTGATGAAGACGTTTATGAAATATGTACTAAAATCATGGGGAGAGACAACCTACAACCGGCAACGAATGCTCAAGAAGCAGCAGATCTGTACATGCATCTCCGACAAGAAATCTACGAATTCCTGTCTTAAAGTGTAACAAAGTTACATGTATATACACATGTTCTGTGATCCTACCAGACGTAACTCGTTGCCTCCATCCACGAGACACGTGTTCGTTTTGATGGTTGTGTTGTATCAATCATGTATAAATGAGAGCAGAAACTTTCGTGAATGTTTCTATTTCAGACATGAACCATTTCCCACACTTTACATTGATTCACTCTAGAACTGATGTTTTACAAGAAGTAAAACCAGTGTGAACTAAAACTCCCAAATGATTGCACTTATGACAAATGTTTGCAGATACATGTGTGCATACAGTTACCTGCATAAGCTTAGCTTACTTGCTTAGTGCGTAAATAACATAATGTCTGAATAAAGCTGACACCTCAGTCGTAAATTGTCTTAATTCTATAGTCGCAGTCCTTTCTTGAATTACAAGCCCTGATCGGAAGAAAAGATTATCAGACGACCACTAGCTATAATAACAAGTTTTATATCAGTTCGTAACGCAAATAATATACTTTGAACGTTGTATTCCAAACACATCAGTCTTGGTTGATACATGAAATAAATAAATGTTCATGAATTAACATTAAAAGAATGACAAAAATACTCTGTTACAGCTGTTATTAACTGATGGCTCTTTATTATGTTGCGTTACAGCTTTTTAAAATGACTGCAATTTCAAGACAATACTTTAAGCAACTATAATGCTAAGGGCGTAACCCGCACCACAAAAAAAATAAGATGTTCATAACATGCAATCCACATAAACATGTTAACAGATGTGATATTTGTAAGTTTTAAACC